GGTAAGCGGAGGGAAGCAAATAAACGAAAACTGGTAGAAAACGATGATTTGTGTGAAAGACAGGGTTATAATGCTTTACCTATACTGCGTAGCATTCGTTATTTGTTATCAGTTGTCTCATCATAGGCCTTTATAACAGACACTCGAACGCACAAATATCCCATAGCTTGAGTCAAATTCCCTGCCCAATCAAATAGCTTGAATCATAGACTGTGGTTTGCGCATAGGACGCTTAATGATAAGCTTAGCTTGAAGCTGATGTCGATTTCCGCCAAGCGGCAGCTTTCACCGAAAAGATCTGATTGAAATGTCCTGTCATCATTGTTTCCGTTCAAAAAATTTATCTCGAAAAAAGAAAGTCGTTTGCACCGTTTTGCATTTTTAATATCGACTTCTATTATGCGTAAAACCACCTATCACTAAGGGCGCTTAAATCTAGGATTCTTATGTTGACTTAGCTTTGGCTTGAAGAAGGTGTAAGCTTGAAGAATTTGTGATCCTGATCTTTTCTCATTCGCGGCCAATAAAATTCAAATTTGTCTAGCTGAAAGTTTAGGCAGGAAAATGGACGATCTCGAAGTTTTACCAGTTTCATAGGAAAGCAGGATACTCGATATATCGTGGCCCTTTTGCTCGCGGTTCGTCCATACTCCGCCGGTCTGCAGTGTCGGCAGTGGCTGAATTAGTGCCCAATGCAATTTTCGTTATATCGCAGCGGTCGGTATCTGAGTCATATTATAGCTTCCTCGCTATAATACCACGCTGATGGAAATTTTATGTGGGGACATGCCTCTGTTTATAAACTAGGCTCTGTTTATGATGCTGTTGTAACACCAAAATGATTCCACATACAGAAATGAAGTCGCTTTTCAATGAGTCATAAACCCTACTCTATCTATCCCTCCAAAATATATAGCAAAAAAATGCCATATGAATGTATATGCGTCGAAACCATAGGAACTATCGAGGGCTACTGTGACCGTCGCGGGCCTCTTTCTCCCAGCCAGCAGCTAAAGTCCTGACCCACAAATTTTAATTGGTCATTTTCTCTCTGTTCCGCATTATTTCCACTCTCCCAGTGAGTCGAGCAGCTGCTATCTACGTTGCGTTTGCAGTTCAACAACGCTGATTACGATGTGGCGCTAATGAATTCGCTCAAATATCTATCCCTTCAGTAGGTCATTAGACCTTAGTCGTGTAAAAAGCGCATAGATCCCAAAAGGGATAAACAAGCAAAAACACGATATGTACCTCGTCGCTGTACAATGAATCAAAGGTAGGCTGCAAGCAAGCCATTGTGGTTATTTGTGTTGCACTGAAAGGCAGACATTAAAAATCAACTCGATAATAAACAGCGCTTTTTGCCAGTATTCCCTTACTACTAGTGACTTTCGAGTTTGATAGAATCGGTGCAGACTATTAACTCATACCGGTAGTATCGCTAAAAAGTTGTGCATGAGCAAATTAATCTTGGATAGAACCACATTGTAAGCAAGTGATTAGCATATAAATACATACTATCGACGCTGGAAAAAAGCGTACGTATATGTCAATATCTGAAAGGGCCCACAACGCTACAGTTTAGAAAAACCTGCTTGGGACAATTTACAAAATGCACAAAGAAATCCTTCGAAATATAGTCGGAGTATTAGACCGCAGCGAGATACGCCATGCAGTGTCGGCCGTAATGTTTAAGCCAATGCTAATATTGTCCTTTATAGTATTTTCTGTTACACTGATTGGAGCAGCACCGAAAAGGCCAACAATTTTGGCTCCAACAACAATGAAGTACGTTGAGGAATACAGTACAGATCTATATGAAGCTCAACTTGAGGGAAGTTTTGATAGTTTGATGCCGGAAAAGGCCTACCAGAAAAGACGATCCGGCCCACGCGTGCGTTACCGCGGCATCGGCGGAGTGGCTGATGCTATTACAGGCGGAATACAAAATGTAGTTGATACTATCGGTGAGGTTAATAACGAGGGATTTTTTGGCTTTAATGGCGGCGTTGGCAACGTCATTGGAAGTGTACTTCGCCTGGTGAACCTTGCGCTGGACATGGCTAGTTTTGTGATTAATTCTATTCTGGACGGACGAGACCTATTCGCCAGTCACCGTTCGGAGTATCCTTTTAAGTACGACGAAGGATTTGATTGATACAATTGATGTAGCGACCATGCCAAAACGAATACACAGCTGGAAGAGATGTTTATTATTACTAGTACGCCGTACTGACCATTCCCCAATGACCAGATAAACTGGGACCATGGAGAACGATTAAAAGACAAAGTGGATCATTTTCAAGAAGCAGTTTCTGGACAATTAGGACGAAGTTGAATTGGACAGAACAGACCAAACAGATACCCAAACGCTAGATATACGCGACTAAATAAATAGCTATCTTTGTTCAAAGAGGCACATCCGAGTCATGCTTTATAGAATGTAGGGATTCTACCATGACTATGATACTAGATATGGGATTACAGCAATCCAATAGGATCAATTTTCTATTGACGCGGTTTTGTGTGGTAATTAATATATAAACAACGATAATAGACATAGCAGGAAACTTATAAGGTGGCGACTAGCAAGTGATATTGGAGGTACAAGATTGCGGTCAATACTATCAGTTCTACAGACATTTCATAAAAATGGTAAGCTGTTTAAATCATATCACATATGGAATTATATACAAGCGCGCTGGCGCGGCAAGAGAAAGCACAGTGGGGCAGCTCTTGGAGTGATTTTGATTACAGAGTCCTTTGATGTACTCCTATCGGATTATCCGATGCGTGACATGTGACTTAATCATTTGTACATGATTGATTTTTAGCCTACAAAATGCTGTTTCTTGACAACTGATGCCCTCCTTAATTACTGATCCGGCAAAGGGTAGAATGTCACACTTCTAAAATGGTACGGTAATTTCGATTCGGTGTGATCACGGTTAAGTTTTCAAAGGTACATTGAAAATTTGGGAATAGCAATCATACAGAATCAGACCTGATGAATTAGCTGGGTGTATCAAAAGCTGCCATTACTGCTGCAATGATATCGCACTTCGCCTTTGTTTGTCCTTGACCTTTGCGGTCTCAGGCGCTGACAAGATCTTGAAAGATTGGGTTGTAACGCAGAGATGTCGTTGCTGTTTTCAGCTGTGCGGAGCAGGCTTTTCCTGTACAATGGTTGCCAAGTTTAGGAAACTTATAGTGAACGACAGCTCTGCTGGCTCACGAAACATAAGCTTTTCAGTTTCACTTGCAGTTAGCCAATAGCATTTTTTCGTTCAGCTATAGTATTCAACCCAGCGTTTGTTACATATGAGGACTCGATCTGTAGAATCTTATTGATGCTAACTTTGCAGCAGTAAAAAAACAAGCGGAAAAAGACCGTATACCCACCTTATAGCTTGGCACGCCTTACTCATTGATCGCGCGAGAGATCTCACTACAAAATCTAATATATGCACTTCTCGAGGTAAAATGGCGGCGCTAATCATAATAACTTCTGTCGCTGAATCCTCAGCGTTGTCAAGTAAACAAAGTTGCCAGTCTTAAAGCCGTCGTTTATATTGTACGCTAGTGGTCACGAAAAGAGACTTAGTGTAAATATATTTTGCGTTTCATTTTCCATTTCTACCACTTTTCAGCTGGTCGAAACAACCATAGAAAAAAATAATAATAATAAAAAAATCTAGCCTTATGAAGGTATTACAAGAACACAATATTTTCGTGTGGTTTATACCGTGCGTTAGACTAATCAATCTCGAAACCTCTGACCAAACTGTTAGCTCAAATGGGTGAGTCCTCACTACTTCACTACGGGAACGTGAATATCATCCGCCAGAGGCAGAAGTTGGGGAACGATAGGGCATAGTTGTCCTGTCTAACGCCGTTTGGTTCAACGAGCAGAACAAAATAAACATTTGATTAACACATATACGCTCATGATCAGCACAACATTGACAAGTGATAATTACAGATTATATGAATAGTTCCTAGAATGCATCCAGATTATCTTGCCTGATTTTCAGCGTGGGGCTGGGTGATCAACAGAGAACTCAGAGAGATACTCAGAAGCTTAGTGGTGGGAATGAGAAAAAATTTAGCCACCATATGTAATCGTCACAGCTTTTTCTATGAGTTAACTAGCGAAGCTTCGGCGTTCCTTGAATAGCAAAATGTTTTTGTTTTTTGAAGCTTGAAACACGTTCCGCCATTTAGGCGCCTGTGTCATCGATGGCATTCGCATCGTTCTGATGGAAGACTAGGGTCCGTTAATACAATTTCGTACAAACATACACATATGCCCTCCGTTCTGAGTTGCCTCCGCCGACAATTCTTTAAAACTAAACCCAGTTCGTGTTTTTAGCAATCGCTGGTCATGTGAAGCGGTGAGCATAGGTTTTTGAAGTGCTGTTGAGGGAACTGATGCCTATACAGGGTCTATTACAATGGCATTTGATAGATTTCAAGTGAGAGAAGAAGACAGCCAGTATTATTGTGTGCCGAAAACAAGATAGTCACGAAACGTAAAAGTAACTAAATAGTATATAATAACAACGTGAACACACGTTAGATGCCGCAAGTATTATTGCCGGCTGCGGAAAGGCCTAATCTATGTTACCTGAGCATGTTGTTTTGAAATGGGTTTTAAATTATGGTTAGGCAATGACATGCAATAACGGTTTATGAATTTATGTTCACGTCTCTCAGAGGTGCTAACAATATCATTGTATTGTATGAGAACGATACGACGTACGGTTGTTTTTTTGCCTTCTAATTCATATCGCAATCGGATAAGCCCGCATGCAGGAAATGTATATAGTGTGAAATGTTTTATCCACGAGCAAATATCACGAATGATGCACGTAGAGACTCATTTTATACCGCGAATTTCCATTAATACTCATGACCAACATCAGCAACAACAATGATAACATCAATTTTGGTTGTCTTCAATTCTATATCATACGTGTGTTTCTCTATTTGTTTTTCAGTATCACAGCAACGGCAGCGAGCATCGGTGCAGCAGGAATCCCACAAGCGGGTCTGGTTACCATGGTCATGGTGCTTAATGCAATCGGACTGCCTGCAGACGACATAACTCTGATCATCGTTGTGGACTGGTTCCTGTAAGTTGCAAAGTAGATTAACTTATTCAAAATACTGTTTCGCATAAGGATTAAGTAATCGCAATTAGAGTTACGAGTTCAACGTACATCGCACGTTTGGTTGCATCGAGGACCTGTCTAGTTCTATTGAAGGCAATTCTAATAGTACTTATGGTTCTTTCTGGACATGCTAATTCCTTAGGTAACAAACTAATAAACTCATAGTACGGTATCATCACATTCAACTGAGGAGCGTCATTGACGTCTATAAGTGCTATTCTGCTATTTTGACCATGTTTATTTCACCGATTCTGGGTTTATTCATTAGCTAGAAATTGCGTTGCTTCTGTAAAAATCCGTTTGAAGGGTTTTTTAATGCCACCACCTAAGGGCAATTTTGCTCGTTGTATCTTATACGTTACTTTATGTAATTGTACCTGTTGTGGCTGTGGCTGCACTCTGCGGTTTCAGGGATCGATTCCGGACAGCAATCAATGTTCTAGGTGATGCCGTGGGGGCCACCGTTGTGGAAAAGCTTTCTCTTGACGACCTACGCTCGATGCAGAAACAAGACAACAAAGATACGGATAGCAAAGATACCGTAATCACAGCTATGTAATGATCGACGTCTCATCTATCAGGACGAAGAGGCACAAGGTCCGATTGTGGTGTTCATATGGTAAAATTTTTAGACAGCCGTTAACAACAATAACAATAAAACAATTCGAACGGCAGCAATCACGGAGCAGAAATTTAAATAAATGAGTGAAACATTTGCATAAAAGTACCTAGACAAGTGGGAGGTTGCGCGGCGGATATGGGAAAACTTTCGAAATCGATTATGAGTACCGGTGCGATAGTACGATTCCATCATCTCAATGCAATGCTACTTGAATGATTATAAAGCTAAAGAGTTCCATGATTTGTGGCCTGTTTTCAAAAAGTCATATTCTCATTGAAAATATAATTCGATCTTGGGGTTTGACAGCGTGGCCTAATACAATGATATGAACCTATCGGGCAGGAATAAGTCAGCCAGCAACTGTGAATAGGCATAATAGTTGTAATTTAAGGTTGTCTATCACTGTGCCACCGTTATATTAATAGTGGCATGTGGTCGCTACATAAATGCCATAGTCGATCTTCCTTTTATGGTAAGGTCCTAAGGAAAACGAAGCAGCCAACAGTAGACTGGTACTTCTGTAAGGCCAACTAATATGCTCAATAATATCGAGTCCTTAAGGTGTGCCGCTTTTTTAGAATAGCACAGAATAATAACGTACTTAACATAAACCTTTCGTTTAAAAATCGGTTTCCCCATTCTGAAACTCCAGGATATCCAATTGCCATTGAATTTTGCATACAGTGTTATGTGGAATCGTACACTTCGCTTCGTTAATCAATTAGCGCGTTCTTAACATTCAATCACGAGTGTACATTTTGCTGTAAAAAAACAAATATAGCCTATGGGCACAAAGTTGTCAAAAGTAAAGGTCTTTCGTTGATACAACGCTTTGTAGAAGCTTTTCTCGTAAAATGATCATCGAGCCTTTGTCGGTACCGTTACACGAGCATTTGGACGTTTTTAAATACGCGCTCAAGTACTTCAGACCGATCTTCCAACTTCCAACGCCCATTTGTATGACTGGTATCTGATATTTTACTTTAGAAATAGATCTTTCTTTGTGTCTGTTGATATCGTCAGCGATGTTCAGTATGCGACATATTTAAAAAAAAATTAGACACATCTTATTGAGGCCCCTGCATAAATGGATGCTATTAGTCTAAACAGGTGTATTGTAAATTGATGATGAATATACGTATCCGTATATATATATATGTAAATTTTAATTTCACCAAGATAAGTCCGAAATGATGATACCGAATGTGAAGAAATCTGCAGAACAAATATCCTTATAGGAAACTATCCATGTAGGTTAGAGCAAAATTCATAGGGTTCTTTATTCGAGAAACGTAAGGACACGCGGATTTACTTCGAAACGAATAATTGTTGTGTTTCAAATGACGTTTAAACATAGTTGGAAGAACCAATGCATGCTGGCTTATAGAACGCGACGGCATTTTTTTTTCTAATCAATGGGCGACGCCATAAGCACATGAGCAAATACAACACTAATATTTAGAAGTTTATTAATTTTTTGCTGTTTAGACCGTGCAAAGAGATGGACTCCGTAAGACTACTATCCGTATTGATCCTTACATATAGAAATATAATCTCATCGATTTTCTTTCTTTGTCAGTCTTATTCAGCGACATTCTTACTAACCTATTTTTCGACAACCATATATACATATATATATATATCAATAATAATTATTACCCATATAAACACAAAAAGTGCCGTCAATATGAGCAGGGTCACAACTTACCACATAGCCATGTACCGCCTCCGAAGCATGTAATTATGTGACCCATCACAAGACCCGATTTACCTATGAGTATCGATTAAGTCTAGCAGAAGGTACGCCTGGAACCATTATGAACGACAATCTAATTATCTGTTAATTCTCTTTCTGTTTAACTGTTTACAATAAAAATAAGCAGAAGCACTAAAATGCGACAAAAGTTCCAAGATTTCGAAAAAGAAATAAAATGAAATTGATGAAGAGTGTTGTTCACAAAGACTACTATCCGTAGTATTTACCCAGATTGGTTTACTCGTTTGTGCTATCCCGACCCTTCGAATGACCCATCGGCAGTCGATAGCTCCTGTCTGCTCGTACTTTCAACTACACTACAGACGATAGTACGCAATGGATAGGAGTTCTGACGTATCCGTCCTGCCAGTCGAATCAACGCGACTGAGAAAAATATATTCTAGGTATTTAAGCCCGTTTAAATACCTACGGAAGGTATGAACACGAATATAAGGGAAGGTAGCCAAACCTGCGCGGTAAATCCAAGTTATCGTAGGCTGTGATTTTGTAGGATGTAGTATACGATGGCGCCTTTTTTTGATGGTATAATCTATTGGCCCAGTTACGTGCTAAGTAACGCAGCGATATTTAAATTATGATTAAAAAGAAAGAAGAAGAAAAGGAAGATGTCGTCGTGGTCGTCATTGATCACCGAGTCTGTACATCTTGAGGCCTACACCGTTTCAAAAGCATGCCGAATTGACTCCATAAACCTAAACAACTGGCAAAAATACAACAAAAAGGTTAATTAGATCATTTCATTAACTGTTCCTTGTCGAATTGTGCTTTTCTGAATCGTCGGTTGTCTTATCATCAAACAGCGTTCCGGTAGCCGCTACAGCCGGACCAATGCAAAGGTGTGATAATGACCAGTAATAATAAATTGGCACCCATCGAATCATTGTGTGCATTTGGGCCGCCCATCGGATCGTCCTGCATGAACTGCAATACTATCGAAAGGGATCAATAGCTGTAAAAAGCTGTCTACGCATGTGTACATTCATAGAGTAGACGTACATCCTTGTTCACCAGCCGTCACAACTTGGCTACTGCAGTGGCAGGGCGAAGATTCGCCATGATGAGACCTTAGAATTCGTGATTTACCCTATTATCACCCTGCGCAATTGTATTTGATAGGTGAGGCTCTTATCGCGTTTCCTGCCTATAACTGGTTTGACGTAATTTACTATAAATTACATGTCGTTGGACCTTTGTGTGGGTGGGTGGGTCTTCATACTGAGAGACCTCGATCTTGTGCGCAAAAATCGCTAACCAAAATCACCATAGAACAATACGGTGATGTTCGCTGTTGCTTATTGACATTGCACTAGTATTGTTGCTGGCGTCACGATGAATAACAAATACGTCTTTATACCAGTGAACAGATCTACTAGCGTCTCTATCACCAGCAAATGAGAAAAGCTAATGCAAAATATTATAGAAGAATCCCTTTCAGTAGAATATAATGAAAAACATTTCGAAAACCGAGCGTACGTGTGTGAATTCAATTAAGGAGAGTTACGGCAAATGTATATTGACTCCTTCAGTTACTCCTTCCCGTTACTTACATATCTGGAAGTACCAATGTACAGGGTAGTAATAATATATATTGTATCTAATAACTAGAACCCAAATACAGTGGTTTTCCGCGCCACGCTACTAACAGAGGTCCTTAGCTAATAACAAAAGAGACAGGACAGGATTATACTGTCTACACAATCACAATGAGTAAAGGCAGCGAATATGAGTTAATCTGCTATAGATTCTGGTTGGAACTTACTGGAAGTACTATACCATGGCATTGATATACAATTTAGCATTTCTATGATAGATGATCAGCGAATATGCCACGAACTAATGACGACATCTGTTGTGACAACGGAAACAGACAGCCGCTGAAAAATGATTGAAGTGTTCTAGTTAGAAAGCAGTTAGTCTAGTTGGACACGCCAACTATCTTTTTTGGCTGAGGTAACGGAAAACATAGGGGCTGGAAACAATATAATATTAAGATACATTTAATTAATTTTATTTTTTTTAATTTATTTAATTAAGCTTTAATTGGTGGCGAGTAGCTCGAAAAACGAACAAAAAGTTCAACGACGATAAAAACATAATGATTAAGAACTATCAACATACAGAAAAATTTGAATCGTGTAAGTTTCTCGTGCGAAATTTCGCAGTATTTTTCAAAATCTTCGGACGTAAATCTGGCCGCTTGTGGTGGTCTAATGATGGGATGATCGTGGATGGTAAGTCCGTTAATATCGAAACTTACATGGTTGAACAAACCATGAAACGGACTTTTCTAGAAATGTTTACAGCTCACCAAAAAAAAACGGCTTTATCAATATCTATACAGCTAGTATGATTTTTTGTAAAGTTTATGCAGGATCTAGGAAGCTAACATATCTCGTACACGGTCTGGAAGCATATGTAGTGAACGGCTTAACTGTTCTTATCTGTTCATTATGACTTAATTAAAGGTTCATTAAAGCAGACTGCAATTATTTATCTAGTGGAATTTTAGTCACCATTTATTTAAAGTTTGCCTACGGTAGGATACCATCACTGTTGCGAGGATGCCGTTTGTTCAGAATCTGCCACGTGATATCGCCGACATGAAAGATGATACTGAGTAATACCAGCAAATTGTTAGGAACAGACAGGCAGCAAGCAGGCCAATTATCATTTGCTCAATCTGAGAACGGGACCGTACAATCTCCATCGAGCGAAGAAGGTTAGACGCCTGACCTTGCGGGCAACTATCATCACGGTCGTCCGTATCTGGTTTATTCCCCCTTGACTGTGCTGTCCTGGATTTCGCATTACTCATTCGGCTTTTTGGGGTCTGGGACTTTTTAGGACCAGCTCTTCTTGACTGAGGAGCTTTTGACTTTCGTCCCTGCGATTTTCGTCCTAATTGTGATTTCCGTCCTATTTTAGACTGCTTTTTTACTGCTCTTGACTGGCGAGCGGCAGCACCCTTCAACATACGTTTAGGCTTAGTTTTCTGAGAAGATCTTTTCTTGGACCCGTGCTTGCTTCGTTTTCTTGTTCGTACATTTTGCGGTACAGGAACAGCCTCGTTATCACCACGGCTGTGCAAATCTATGGGGTAATGTCTTCTGCTCACTGCGCCTAGCTTTGACCTTCGTTTGCTAGATTGGTGCTTGGCACCCTTTTTTGAGGGTCTACGCCCCTTCGTAGCTGGTTTTGACTTTTTAGGTTTAAAATTAGCCTCGTCACGAGCGGGACTAGCGTCTTTCGGAGTGACATCCTTGCTTTTTAACGCTTTGGAGCCAGGCTTTGATCGCCGAGTGTTTTTTGATGGCTTCTTTGAGCCTCTAGATGAACTGGTTCTTAGTGACTTGTGGGAAGACTTGGTCCTTATGGACGGTAACCTAAGTAAAGATCTCGATCTTCGTGACTTCACAGTTTTCTTCTTCGAGGACTTTCGTGAGGCTCGCTTGGGTGAGAATTTTCGCAATGGCTTCGAACTTCTTGTTCCAGACGTACTTGAAAGTTTAGACTTCTTCGGTGAAGACCTCACTGCGTATTTGTTGAATGCTGGTTTGGACGTTTTAGACGAAAGCTTAAACTTTTTCGGTGAAAACTTCGACGAAATCTTAGACTTTTTCGATGAAACCTTTGGCTTCTCTGATGATGGCCTAGATTCTTTCGACGATGGCCTAGATTCTTTCGACGATGGCCTAGATTCTTTCGACGATGGCCTAGATTCTTTCGACGATGGCCTAGATTCTTTCGACGATGGCCTAGATTCTTTCAATGATGGCTAGATTCTTTCAATGATGGCCTAGATTCTTTCAATGATGGCCTAGATTCTTTCGATGATGGCCTAGATTCTTTCGATGATGGCCTAGATTCTTTCGATGATGGCCTAGATTCTTTCGATGATGGCCTAGATTCTTTCAATGATGGCCTAGATTCTTTCGATGAAATCTTTGGCTTTTTTGATGATGGCCTAGACTCCTTCGATGAAATCTTTGGCTTTTTTGATGATGGCCTAGACTCCTTCGATGAAATCTTTGGCTTTTTTGATGATGGCCTAGACTCCTTCGATGAAATCTTTGCTTTTGATGATGGCCTAGATTCTTTCGATGATGGCCTAGACTTTTCGATGATGGCCTAGACTTTTTCGATGATGGCCTAGACTTTTTCGATGATGGCCTAGACTTTTTCGATGATGGCCTAGACTTTTTCGATGATGGCCTAGACTTTTTCGATGATGGCCTAGACTTTTTCGATGATGGCCTAGACTTTTTCGATGATGGCCTAGACTTTTTCGATGATGGCCTAGACTTTTTCGATGATGGCCTAGACTTTTTCGATGATGGCCTAGACTTTTTCGATGATGGCCTAGAACCTTTCGATATGGCCTAGAACCTTTCGATAATGGCCTAGAACCTTTCGATAATGGCCTAGAACCTTTCGATAATGGCCTAGAACCTTTCGATAAAGGCCTAGAACCTTTCGATAAATGGCCTAGAACCTTTCGATAATGGCCTAGAACCTTTCGATAATGGCCTAGAACCTTTCGATAATGGCCTAGAACCTTTCGATAATGGCCTAGAACCTTTCGATAATGGCCTAGAACCTTTCGATGATGGCCTAGAATCTTTCGATGATGGCCTAGAATCTTTCGATGATGGCCTAGAATCTTTCGATAATGGCCTAGAATCTTTCGATAATAGCCTAGAATCTTTCGATAATAGCCTAGAATCTTTCGATAATAGCCTAGAATCTTTCGATAATAGCCTAGAATCTTTCGATAATAGCCTAGAATCTTTCGATAATAGCCTAGAATCTTTCGATAATAGCCTAGAATCTTTCGATAATAGCCTAGAATCTTTCGATAATAGCCTAGAATCTTTCGATGATAGCCTAGAATCTTTCGATGATAGCCTAGAATCTTTCGATGATAGCCTAGAATCTTTCGATGATAGCCTAGAATCTTTCGATGATAGCCTAGAATCTTTCGATGATAGCCTAGAATCTTTCGATGATAGCCTAGAATCTTTCGACAATAGCCTAGAATCTTTCGATAACAACTCTGGCTTTTCTGGCGAATGCCTAGATTTATCTGGCGAATGCCTAGATTTTTTCGATAACAACTCTGGCTTTTCTGGCGAATGCCTAGATTTTTTCGATAACAACTCTGGCTTTTCTGGCGAATGCCTAGATTTATCTGGCGAATGCCTAGATTTATCTGGCGAATGCCTAGATTTATCTGGCGAATGCCTAGATTTATCTGGCGAATGCCTAGATTTATCTGGCGAATGCCTAGATTTATCTGGCGAATGCCTAGATTTATCTGGCGAATGCCTAGATTTTTTCGATAACAACTCTGGCTTTTCTGGCGAATGCCTAGATTTTTTCGATAACAACTCTGGCTTTTCTGGCGAATGCCTAGATTTTTTCGATAACAACTCTGGCTTTTCTGGCGAATGCCTAGATTTTTTCGATAACAACTCTGGCTTTTCTGGCGAATGCCTAGATTTTTTCGATAACAACTCTGGCTTTTCTGGCGAATGCCTAGATTTTTTCGATAACAACTCTGGCTTTTCTGGCGAATGCCTAGATTTTTTCGATAACAACTCTGGCTTTTCTGGCGAATGCCTGGACCTATCTGGCGAATGCCTGGACCTATCTGGCGAATGCCTGGACCTATCTGGCGAATGCCTGGACCTATCTGGCGAATGCCTGGACCTATCTGGCGAATGCCTGGACCTATCTGGCGAATGCCTGGACCTATCTGGCGAATGCCTGGACCTATCTGGCGAATGCCTGGACCTATCTGGCGAATGCCTGGACCTATCTGGCGAATGCCTGGACCTATCTGGCGAATGCCTGGACCTATCTGGCGAATGCCTGGACCTATCTGGCGAATGCCTGGACCTATCTGGCGAATGCCTGGACCTATCTGGCGAATGCCTGGACCTATCTGGCGAATGCCTGGACCTATCTGGCGAATGCCTGGACCTATCTGGCGAATGCCTGGATTTATCTGGCGAATGCCTGGATTTATCTGGCGAATGCCTGGATTTATCTGGCGAGGGGCTGCCCGTAAATCTGGACTGCTTCGAAAGATTAGATTTTTTGAACGTAGACTTGCCTGAAGATCTGGACTGTCTATATTTTTCAGGTTTTGATCTTGCACTAAACAAAGACAGTCTCGGTCTTTTGGATTTTCGTGAAGATCTTTCAGAAAACTGTTTCTCAAAGGGTCTTGTTGACTTTTTGGGTGGCTTGTTAGGTTTATGCAACGACGACAGTCTTTTCGATATTGAGGGCTTCGTTAATGCCCTAGACCTACGTTGCTTCAACCTATCGTCTAACTTCGGTCTAAACCTCCTGCGATAAGGTTGTTTTGATGATCCATGTTTTCTCGTATCACTAGGAAACTCAGACGAGCCAGGCTTATGTTTCCAACTCAGCCTAGACGTTTGGGGGCTTTTGCTTTGCAGGGACCAATTTTCAAACTCGTTTCGAGGACCTCTCTTTCCAATTGATCGGATCCGTCCTACTAGGCCCCCAAGTAGGTTCGAGATCTTACGCTCACGTTTCGGTACCTTTCTTATACGCCTATCACTTCGCGACTCTGAATCCTGGTATGCTAGTCGACGCGTCGGCAACCGTGAACGAGGTTTTACGGAACGCTTCTTTGACGGCATTCTTTTTGAAGTGCGTGATTCCTTAGACGGGCTGTGGCTAGTTCTTGTGGAAATGACCGCACTGATTCGCTGGTCATTATCCTTCTGAAAAATTGGTTCAAGTTCTTTAGCCAGGAGTTTGATATACTCCGGATTATCGCACTCTATAATTACTTCTTCCTTTTTTCGGACTGTGGTCGTCTCCGTCGTCTTGCACTCTTCAGGCATCAGACTTTGAAGTGCAGAAGAAACTGAACCTGAACCACCTGATAACCGAGATCCCTGTGGATACACAGTCACATTTAGTTTACTAATAATAAACGCCTGTTCATTATTAATGTTTCTACCGTTGTATGGGTGCTAGACTTACAAATATTTTAGCGACTCTCAGCGGAGTCGCTAAGAAAGTGTTCTGGAATCGACTCATTGACCTTGGAGGCTGTACGCCTGCACTGTAGACATCCCAGTCATCCCTAATGCTTTTAGAAGAAATTGTCACCAAATATAGCTAACATCAATTAATCTGTTAAAAAAATCAAAAATGCTTGATAGGCTTCTTCACTGTTGTTCACTTTAGGGTCACCGGATACAGACCAACCTTCAGATGAAGCGCAATACATGTATAATAGAGACAATTTCGTATTGTTCAACCTTTCTCACTTTTGGCATTACCCCGAAAGCTTCATAAGCACTTCTGTCGATAAGAACTTTTTGAACTTTAGCGCGATAATACTGCTTGCAAACAACCCGAATCGACTTACGCGATGTCTAATCAGCGTCGAAATACCGCCACTTTACTAAAAATATTACCGAGAAATCGCATTGCAGCTTAGTTTCACCACTCTACACAAGCTTAACCTTTAGTCGAACAGTCTCAATGTGTAATATAATAATATAATTCTTTTGAACGATGCATACGTTCTCCAGCACAAATTAAGTATCCCGTGGTCGTACAGTCAAATGAGACAGCTTCTGAATGAGCAATCTCTATGAGAGTTGAACAAATAAAGATGACTTTGATTACCAACCCACCTCATGTGGGCAATAAAAGGTCATTGCATCATCTAATCGCTAGAACAACGCGTTAGGAGCGGAGCACAACCCGAACGGTCGCGGACGCAATTTTTGAGGCAACGGACATGGTCTTCTACAGCTTCTATGTTTGAGCTCGCGAGGAGGTTCGTCTCCGATTGTCGATAGTTATTATTTGATTTTATCTTCCGGCACAACTACCCTGATAGGCACAAAGGGTATCAGCACCTGTTCAGAGGAAAATCCTGCACACTTAGTACTGTCACTATTGAAGACCGCTTACCTTTCGGGATCTCCGGCCCGACCACGATGGCATCCTGCCAATTTCGCTTCGTTTCTACGATCGAATCACGATCCTCGGAATTTTACTTCGCCAGCCCTATATATAGACTATATCTGTATATATCGTTGAATAGTAGAATAGATATAATGCGTTTAAACGTGCGTAAGCAAAGCTGAGTTTATTTTAGACATGGATACCTTTAATGCTAGATAATGCTCTAACGTTAGGAAAAGAGCGTGCGAACGTTTACAGTATATGCTTTTATTTGCCCCCTAAGTTCATCACTGTGTTAATTGATTTTTGACGACCTGCTATTTCCATGTAAAATGTGTGTACTGACTACTTTCAACAGTAATTCGGCTAGTTGTCTGTTATCGTCGGTCACCAAATGGTACCGCATTCAGTTGCTACATGGGAAGGGACGAAATCGATAGGGTCGGTCATGCACTTCAATGGACAATTCGTCATCGGTTACCGATGCCAAATATTCTTCGCCTGTTTTCAAAGCGCACTCATATGCGCGATGTCTAGTATAACCTATTTAGGCTTAATACTATAATTATTATAAAAGCTCCGCCCCTGTTGAATTCTTCATAGACTATATATTATGAATATGGTTTTTAATTCATGTACTCTATTCCCGTTCAGAACATGCCTGACACCTCTGAAGATCTTTATGGTCGAAATCATATTAGATATGGTAAGCAGATTACCCAATGAACTGTTGCCGTTTATGGTGAAATTTTATTCAATTTTGACAGGAAGAAGTAGCTTCCTCCTAGAGAGATATGTAGACATTTGTTGGCGGTAAGGACAATGTTCCGTATATTTCGGGTAATCGATTGCGTTAGTATCAGTTAGTGGTGGTCTGAGAAACCGTACGAGGAGCTTACAAACATCGATAACATCTCTGCCAGCTTATATAGTCAGCATTAATACGATCAAAAGCAGTTACAGCCTAATGATAAAAAGTAATCGGAGTCAGAACTAGTCATTACTTGTTGCAGTGACTAGGTACGTTGATTTTCCAAGTCTCGGATGACTTAGTAAGACGAAGGTTTGTTACGCTGATTAGAACTGGCCGATAGCCCCCACGCGGGGTAATCTGAACTACCGGCGAAAAGACACGTACTCATTCGCTGAGGGCTTATGCGCCATCAAGTAACCAGAGGTACAAATATTCAATGTTTTAGTTTGTCGGGTGTTGTTCGAAACATTTTTCAATCCGAAATACAACAAGCCATCGATACCTGCAACCAAACCAAAAACGTGTCGTTAACTATTTTGACTTAACAAATACACATAATTTCAATGTTTGCCAATTCTCGAGGACCCTTGAAAGGTTATTTTCACCATAATCAACTCATACTTGATTATTCATATTTTACATAAATAACTTCCTTTATTTGCACAAATGTGTAGCAACTGTAAGCATCGTTAGTGGGATTCGAAGTTATGCCCCGTACACCTTTTCACCTAAAGCCTTTGTGTCTCACTAGTATTGGTATAAACGTCTCGAGTATCATCGGCTGTACTTTGTGAGGGGGCTAATGATTTTAATCACTTCCCGAGTTTTTACGACAGCAAAACTGGCGCGCTGTGCCCTTATCGATTTGTGGGCGGCTTGCTATTTTGAATAGTAAAGATGGGCGCCTAATGCGTTGCCGCCATCATGGCAGAGTCTGGTTCGGTGTCTGTTATATGGTGATGTTTGTAGAAGATTTACGTTGGAGAATTTTCACATGGTAACGAAGGTAATATTCGCAGAGAGGCAAACGTGACCACGGTTGCCAGAGCTCGGCAGAGGCTGTGCTCCAACATACAGGTTCTTTCATTTGAACTAAAAGCGGGATGCTGCACCGTATACCCTGTATGGCCTAATTTCATAGTAGCGTTAATATTTAAAGCCTATGCAAGTGCTTTATAAATGAAGGAAAACATCTGCATTCCGTTACAAAGTTTTGTCGATTTCAAACGCCACTCGAGCACTTGATGTTATAAAATAAGAATGTTCCCGATCGCTGAATACAATCTGTGTCTATAAACTACGTGCAGCGTACCCTTCTATTTGCTATTATTTACTTTCGCTCGTTCCGAGAGGATAGCTTTTCCTTGCGAATCCTGGTCTGATCGATGAAATCCTTTTGGTGTGTTTTTAGATCGGCCAGAAATTATTGTGACACATGCAACGCGACTGTCTCTTACATGTAGGCCTATGTGGTCTGAGGACAAGCGGAGTAATATAATTGAGGAAATGCTGGATTGATGCAACAGTATTCATGTTGTATTTCTCTATAAAAGAAGTTTCAAGCAACTTCGCTGGGAAGTTATCTCTTTTACAACACAGAAATAGCCCAAATATCCTGTTGGGACAATGCTAGCTAACGAAGGAAAATTTAGAGTTTCGAAAAGCTTCACAGTTGCACCTGTAAATTATCAGCGGGATGAAAGTCTTTCAAGACAGCCAAACGGCATATTAATTTTTTCCTTTATGGGAATATGTTACGCAGTGAAGGGACAAGAAGCCATGTTGACTTAGGTGTAGTCTTAGAAAGGACTATTTCGCCCACGCATGATGGCTATTGTCCAGTGGCTTTCAATGAAAAATTACTATCATGGGAGTTCCAGAAGCCCTTTAGAACAACGATAAATGTATTTATTTCTCAAAGCCTAAGCCAGAGTTTAAAAACTCTTGAGGTCTTCCGAAGGGAGCTTCTTTTAGAGACAACACTGATTGTATCTTTTCCCGAATAGTAGAACGGCTTGGCTAAAGAAACTTAACAACAAAGAAGTTCACTACTGATACATCGAAACTTCAGCTCAATTTCTTCTTCTTCTCAGGCACCATAGGTTTAGTTGAGCTTTTTTTATTTTGATAAGAGATTGTTGATTGCTGCCCATATTGAATAATGATACCTCAGTAGCTAGTAGTGGTTAGCTAATAACAAACCTATTTCGAAATCTGACTTGTTTATATCTGGACACATCGTTCATCCACATAAAAAGTATTTAAAATAAACTATTGAGCTTTCACCATCATCACTATCCTTATTGCTTATCTCCGTAAGAATCTATATAAGCTACATAAACTTATTAATTTAGAAAAGTTTGTGCACGCAATGATCTAGACGAAATCAAGAGTCGTTATCTGCTATTGCCTAAGACATCATTATCTAATCACACGGATATACATGTTCATATATCTATCTTGAAAAAAATCAGCAAAACCACCTGATAAACTTACTGTTATAAATGAGATATTCATGGAAGCTTCTTGAAACACTTTATAGGCCAATTTTGTAGCGTAAATGCATATGGACATATCTGTCAAGAATTAAAGCAATAGAAAGTTTTATTTTATATTGACTAGTGAAATACATTAAGTCCTTAAACGGAAACCGTTTGGCGGGTACATTAGCCAACGGGAATTATGATTGCATGGTACTATTACTAGTAGCAGCAAGATCATTAACCCAACGGTTAGCGGGGCTTATTGTGATGTATCATTACTAATGTTTTTTAAGGCGGATAGGAATCAGACTTGATGGAATACGTTTATTTTCTATTCCTGGTTTGCCTCAGTAAGCCTTTTAAGAAGTCAATAAAAAAAGAGCGTTTTTTTGTCGTGAAAAATATCTTACAATTAAATAGAAAGAAGGGAGAGTCCAAATAGAGTCCTTTCAGTAAAATCAGGTTTCGTTGAAAGTTCTCAGCGCGCGATTTAGACAAAAATTCTCGAGTTTAGCAGTTATTGCTTTTGTAGAGTAAAGTCCATGAGAAACTCTATGGCAATTGCTATACGACGGCCTGCAATCGTTTCTCGTTAACGGTAAGAACGTAATCGTATGGCTAACTGTATTTATTCTTAATTGCAGGTTCACTAAGTAAAGCGTTGTGATTCAAATAGACAATCACATCTGCCCAGATAGCCTGCTCTGATAGTATAAAGCTCAACGGTGCACGAAGTAAACGTTTGGTTTGGTAGAAGGTTGACTTACCTTTTAAAGGTGACCAATTTAAGCCTTAAAGATGTTTATTATTGTTGCATTAGTTAGGTCGTTCAAAGGAGGCAACGGTGCTCACCCTATCTTTCGAAGTAGTGCCAGCGCTTAGCATTTCGCTTCCTAAAGGGAAGTATTTCCCGTGACGGTTGCGGACGAACAGAAGAAGAACGCCTGTCTGTGAGAAGCGGGTGTTTCATTCTACCCCTCTTTAGACCTTTGTATTCCACAAACAGTGAAGAACGCCTTACTGACGCCTTCTTAAAAAGAATAGTTTGTCGCGGTAAAAATAAAAGGAGAGCTTCTCGTACCTAATAAGAGATTATCCATACACACACGCATGCCAGACATTCGTACGCAAACAACGAGCGACCTATAACTTAGTAGCTCTGGACTACCCAGAGTACGTGTTTTGGGCGGATAGATACAATTAGAAAAATGGTCACCACGATAATGAACGAATTCTAACTGTTGAGTATTCTCTGACTGCTTTGAAAGCCCATTTTGATATATCATGGGTAGAACTGTGACGGGCGATCGTTCCATATCAAATATGCATTAGTCAAGTCAGTACACGAGAAGTTTTACGAACTCGTACCTTTTTAGTAACTGTCTTTGAATGCAACTGTGGACGGCGCGTTTTAAGGTTCTTTTGGTGCTCTACTTAATTAGCATATGCTCAAAGATTCAACGGAAATAATACTAATAAAAGGAAACCTTCAAGTAAGTATAGCCCAGCTCAGAGGAACTATATGAGGCCATCTCTGCCAGCTAACAATTAATAACCTAAGCAACGTAAAATTATATTGTAGTTTAACCAATAGACTATATTTTTTTAATTCGAATCTAAAATTAAATTTCCTCTTAAAACTGACAAGGCACTTCTTTTTAAAGACGGGTTCCTGCTGAACAATCATCCTTCTTCCCTGGGTAGCTTGGATAATGTTTTAGCTGCTGCCTATAAGACGCCCGCATAGTGGTAATAGAAACCGGCAGTTCTTCTTACTATGGACGCGCTGTCTTATTACGACTGTTGACTTATCCATACTTCCCCAACAGAAACCGTTATGTTCTGCTGATTTAGGAACCCTCGAATTCTGCGTA